GGGTGCAGGAAGAAAAATTAAGTGAAAAATACATACAAAAAGTATACAACAAGGTATTTAAATTAGATAAAAATACATCAGATTATGTTATTAGAAGAAAAATAAACTGTGGAAAGTTGACTGAGTTGTTAGAATACCTTATAGAAGAATATAGGAAGGGAAATTTAGTGGAGGATAATATTAGAAATAGGTACAAAAAATAGATATAAAAAAGAAAGAGAGGAATCATTATGGAAATTGAAATTGGATCAAGAACAATTAAATGTGTCAGGAAGGATGGGTACGAGTGTAGGTGAGATGGTGAGGATTGTGTAATGAAATGATAAGAGGTGAGGATGTAAGGAATATTAATAAATCAAGGTACATAAAGTCTTGTAAGTGGAAGAATTGGCAGGGAGATTGTATGCCAGGGTATTTAAAAGGAATAAAAAAGATGGATGTGATAGCAAGGTTTAGAATGAGAAATAAATGTACAGGATGTGTGTATTAGGTAATGAAAAATGAAAGGTTATATAAAATATCTGGAGTAAGTAGAGAAGAAGATTTGATGCATGTATTGGAAAAGTAAGGATTGGGATGAATGTGTTGAAAGAATAACAGAGTGGGAATGGTTTGATCACACTGAATAAGGTACCTATATTAAAAAGAAAGAAATACGTATTAAAGGAGAATAGTTAATTTAGAGATGTTTTCTTATTTTTTTTTGTTTATGGCTTTATAGCTGTTTGTAGAATAACAAGGAGGATTTAGACTGTTTTAATTTCTGTTACGTTAGTATAATGAAGTTTGTATGAAGGTTTAATCTTCTTCTTTTTAACCGACTTCAAACAAGGAGGAGGTTCTCTGTATGTTTTTTTGTACGATTGTTACGCGATTACTCCGCCAATTATGAATTGATTTTGATGATTCTTTTTTTGTTTAGTAGGTCATACTTCAGAGGTAGTCCCCTGTAAATTTTATCGAAATTGATTCAGTTGTTTTTGAAAAAATTAACAAAAATAAAAAATATATACACACAAAAAATTAAATTTATTATTATATNTAGAACAATTTCCTTTCGAATTATTAACCAATCTTTGATTGTAACTACCTCCTTTATAATTCCTCCTATTATATGGATAATTAGATGAATCATTTTTATAGTTCTCAAAACTATTCCATTTGGTTTTGTTCCATGATCTGTTAAAACTAATGGGACTCGAAGAATTATCAAATGAAATGTTTGAATTTTTTTTGTTACTTCCAATCAAATTGCTAGAATTATTGTTACTGTTATAATTATTATAAAACCTCTGTTTTTCTCCCTTATTAAATGGAGAATTATTTGTCAATTTTTCACATGTCTTTGTTGGAGTTGAAGTTGAATCAAATGGAATGAAATCTGTGCTGGTACTGGTATCGAAATAAACAAATCCAGGCGAATTTTGCGAGTTCCAAGAAAGATTCATGTCTCACAAAAAAAAATAGACATTTAATACAGTACCGTTTATTAGTCCCTAAAAATTATTACTTTCAACTTTAAAAGGTATATTTACATTAGATCCTTACCTTTCCTATAACCAACTTCTAATATAAAACAAAAGGAATCAATTTTAATATACTTTTTGATAAACAATAACCTCTAACCTCTATGACAACTTGACAATTGGAAAATAACAATAACCAGAAATGTTGACGAGATGTTCACGACCATAGATATACATAATGTTTACATAGATATTTCACTTTAGATCGTGTATGGTTGTTCCTCAATTGAACAGATGACGCGGATAGCACTGTCAGGAAGAAAAATTAACAATTAGTATGAAGGGTTGCATAAGCAAAATAGGTTTCTTGAACTAGAAAGAAATACGTGAATTATTTGGATTTTATTGCCTTTACATTAGTGATGCATGCATAATTTTATGTACATAAATATAGTTCCCTTGTTTTAAAATAAAAAGGTAGTACAGCGATGGAAGTTTGCACCCCACGTAAGTGAGCTAAACGCGCATCCGCGTTAAGTATTGTAGTTAATGGGGTAAGTCATTTTTGTCTTAATTAGAGTTCAATTTTAGGAATAGGTACCTACATGGGTAAGCAATGTTTGCAAAAGTCACAGGCATTGTATGTTGTATCACAAATATCAAATCAAAAATTATACAGTATCAAATTAAAGGTACCTACATACACCTATCTGTTTATGCTGAAAACTCAAAAACATCGGAAAAGTTCACAGGGAAGGTTTGAATAAAATCATTGAGCAACATTCGCGTAATGAGGAATCGAGAACCTCTAATTTATTGTTAATTATTTCCTGCTAAACACATACACACAAGACAAAAATAGTTGATATTCAACATTAATTTAGTTTGCAAATCTTAATTAATATTTAAATAATTTCGTTAGTATAATAGAATGTGGAAATCACAACTAAATGTTTGGTTATTTATTAAAATTATGAGATATTCTAATTTTACCAAACAATTTTAAGTCAGGAAATAGGGAATAAATGTAATTATTTTTGCTATGATTAATGAGGGAAACGAACTATGCAGGGTTGTAGGAAACAATCCAGGGAGCAAAATGTACTCTAAAGTATAACACTCCATTATTTTTCAACACAAAATAACGTCGAAAAAACTAAATCTACTTCTATGCGGCTCTAGTGCAATTTCAAACGAAACAC